GGTCATGCCTCAATCCCTTCTCCTCCATTCTCCTCTCAGGATCTTGGGCACGCACGCATGCACACGTGCCCAGCGTGAGTTCTAAGCCACTGGGTCCGGGATGCAAACCGCGGTCGACTACGTGGGAGTCCAGCGACATAGCCATTACACTAACTGCTGGTTCCCTTGGGGTCTCATTGTTTTTCTATGGCCACATTTTCTCAATCAGTTCATCTGCTCTTGGACATCTGGGTTGATTCCATGTCTTAGCAGTTGTGAATAATACTGCAATAAACATTGGATATGCAAGTGTTTTTCCGATGGTATGTTTTCCTATCTTTTAGGTAGATGCCCAAAAGTGGAATTACTGGGTCATAGCAGTTCTATTTGTAGGGGTTTTTTTTTTGTTTGTTTGTTTTTTTGAGAGGTTTTTGCTATAGGGCGTGTGTGCTCGCCAGACAGACAGAGAGAGACAGAGAGACAGAAAGTGAGAGACCATCCCCCAGGGTGATGGCCACACCACAATCCCTTCTCCTCCATTCTCCTCTTGGGATCTTGGGCACGCACGCACACGCACCTGGCATGAGTTTTAAGCCACCGGGTCCGGGACTCGAACTGCGGTTGACTACATGGGAATCTAGCGACATAGCCATTATGCTAACTGCAGGTCCCTACTTGTAGGTTTTTGAGGAACCTCCATATTGTTCTCTAGAGTGGCTGTTCTAATTTACAGTCCCATCAACAGTGGAAGAGGCTTCCCTTTTCACTGCAGCCTTGCCAGCACTTATTCTTAATTTTTAAAATCTTAGCTATTTTGATTGGGATTAAGTAGTATCTTATTGTGGTTTTGATTTGAAGTTACCTTATAATAAAAGATGTTGAACTTTTAAATATGATTTTTGGCAGTTCGTATGTCTTCCTTGGAGAGTTGTCTGTTCAGTTCATTTGCCCATCTTTTAATTGGATCTTTTTGCAGTAAGCTGCTTTAGTTTCCTGTATATTCTGGTTATCAGTCCCTTATCTGAGATATAGTTTGCAAATATATTCTCCCATTCTGAGGGTTGTCTCTTCACCCCCAAAATATTTTGTAGTAAAGCTTCAAGGAGAAGATGTAACATCATTAGAAAAATGAAGAAGAGTTGAAAATAAACCAAACAAGAGAAATGGATGAGAAGGTTCTGAATTATTTGGCAAGCGTAAATTTAGCTCAGGAATTCCTTCACTGACATTTACTAAAAACACCAGGAACTCACCATCACTTGTTTTAGTCACCGTACTCAGCTCAGGGATCCTAGCAGGAGAGAGGAGAATTGGATGGAAATGTCCTTGAGATTTCATTGTGGGTCCTGAAAAGTAAATATATTATAGAGATGGTTAGGAAAGAGAATGCCTTTTCTTTTATAGTGCCTTTTATTTTTATAAAAAATATTCAGATACAAATTTTAAAGACTGAGAATTGATGTGTATAGATGTGAAAGCAATGGTCACATCTGTTGAGTAAATGTAGGGAGTATGATCTCCCCAATATATGCACTTACTTATTTATATATTCATTATATTTCTATAAAAATAAGAAGTAAAAAAGATAAGAAGCTCTTAAGACACTCCTGAGGCTAGCTCTGTGGCCTGGTGGTTAAGGTAGTTGAATCCCATATGACTGACCACGAGGTTGGAGTTCCAGACATGCAACTTGATTAACCTGTCATGTGTGTGCATGTGTGTGTGTGTGTGTGTGCATGCCCAAAATCCTGAAAGGAGGGAGAAATAGAAGAGAAGGGATAATGGTGTGAACATACTCTACTGGGGAAGTGCTTTCTCCTCTTCCTCTCTCTGTTCTTTCATCTCTCTCTGGTGCGGGCATGTGCCCTCTAGCAAACAAAAGCAAAACTGAAAAATTTAAAAAACACTCTCGCACATAAGCACCAAGATATAATGAGAACATTTGTAATATCTATGACTTGGAAACAGCTGAAGCTGGTTTTTTTTGGAGAGGTTTTTTGCTATAGGGCACGCATGTTCACCAGAAAGACAGAGAGAGAGAGAGAGAGAGATCAAGCAATAAATCACCCCCCACCCTGGGGAGATGGCCATGTGGCAGTCCTTTCTCTTCCATTCTCCTCTTGGGATCTTGGGCATGCATGCACCCACCCGGCATGATTTTAAGCCACCAGGTCCGGGATTTGAACCATGGTCGACTACATGGGAGCCCCACAATGTAGCCATTATGCCATCTGCTGGTCCCCAGCTGAAGCTGTTTTAACAAACTATCCTTCAACAGTAGAATGGATGAGCAATTGTTCCATGTTAACACAGTGGAATATAGTTTGGGTGAGTTTCAGGTTAAAAATGTTGAATGAACGGGACCAGCAGTCAGCATAATGGCTATGTCTCTGGACTCCCATGTAGTCGACCACAGTTTGAGTTCCGGACCCAGTGGCTTAAACTCACGCCGGGTGCGTGTGCGTGCGTGTCCACGATCCCGAGAATGGAGGAGAAGGGATCATGGCATGGCCATCCCCCTGGGGCGGGGGGTGATTTCTTGCTTTTTGCCCCTCTGTCTCTCTTGTCTCTCTGGTGAGCGCATGCGCCCTATAGCAAAAACCTCTCTCAAAAAAATGTTGAATGTACAGAGCAAATTGCAGAAGAATAAGAAAGTCTCAGGCTATTTATGTGACATTTGAAAATATGCAAAATTAAATGACATATTGTTTAGAATTCAAATATATCTGATAAAATTATAAAAAGAAAGAGACTGACCAAGACAAAATTCAGGCTAATAAGTACTTCAAGAGGAAAGGAAAAGAAAGGGGATGTTACTTGGGAGCACCCATGAGGGCCTTCTAAGTTCTTGGTGAAGTTCACATTCTGTTTTGTTTATATATATATACATATACATTTTTTTTCTATAAGGCACATGTGCTTGTCGGAGAGACAGAGAGACAGAAAGTGAGAACTCACTACCCAGGGGAATGACAGAAAGTGAGAACTCACTACCCAGGGGGATGACCACCCTGCAATTCTTTCTCCTCCATTGTCCTCTTAGGATTTTGGGCACACACCTACACATGCCTGGCCTGACTTTTAAGCCTCCGGGTCTGGGACTTGAACTATGGTGGACCATGTGGGAGCCCAGCAATGAAACCATTATACCATCTTCTGGTACAGAAATTTGTGTTCTTGAAGTGGATATGGGTGGTAACTCAGTACATCATATTAGTAATATACTCAAACATGTTTTATAAAATTCTATTATATCTACTCAATATATAGTTTTGAAAATTTATTTTGATAATCAAACCAAGGATATTACTAGGTATATACTTTCAATAGAGAATTTTACAGTCTGTCTACTCAATATTGCACAAAAATAAAATTAAAAAAGGACAAGATAAATGATTAAAAATCCTTAATACTTTTTCCCTAAACTTCCTGAGGTCCCTTGCATGATAACAGAATATATACAACTTCAGAGACCATTGGCTCTATTGGAAAGGATGATGTTTTCACCCCTAAAAAGTAATTGTAGACCAAGAACAGAGTGGGAGACAGGAAGTTCAGCCCGGCATTAGTGGTGGAAAGAGAACTGTCATAATCACTTACCTAGTGAGGTGTTGCCCAGGATGAGAGGGGCTTCTGGGTGTTTTCCTTTCAGCTCCAGGAGATCCTTGAGAGTCCCAGGGGAGATCCAGGTCACCCTCTCTCCATAAAAGATCAAGGTTCGTTTTTCCGGGTTCTCTGCCATCCTCTAAGGACAAATGACAGGTATGTGTGCTCATGTGCACAACTGTCCTCCTGGGCTATACAAGGCCGAGGAGTAGGAGAGTTTCTCTAGAGAAGTGTGAGGGCCCTGGGGTCCATTTGTCCCCCAAAATATTCTCTACACCTATTGGTTAATGCATGAATTTCCATAATTAGATGGCTTTTTGGAGACAAGTGACAATATAAACTGGCACTTGACCATTCAGTCTTAAGTCTTTAAAAATCTTATTAATGCTCCTAAATGATCACCTTCAGCCTGGACTTTTCCTCTGAAATCCAAAACCAAACTTATACCTGAATGAATACTTCATCATGTTGCCTCTTAAATTTATAACAGGCATCTCAAACTTAATTTGTCTAAAACTGTGGTCCTCATGTCCAATCCTCTTCCAAGGCCCTGAAAAAGAGGCTCCTGAAGGAAAAGTACCCTGTTCCTCCAGAGGTCTTACCCATCTCTGCGAATGGCCATTTTACCTCCAGCTGTCCAAGGCCCAGAGTGAGCTTGACTCTTCTCGCTGTCTCCCACATCCACATCATACCCATTAGCAAGTCTTGTTGAGTTTTCCTCCAGACACATCCAAAATCAACTTGCTTCTCACCACCATCACCTCAGCAGCCTGGTTCAGCTGCCACCATCTCTCAGGACAGCATTCGTCCCTTCCCTGGGCTTGACGTGACTTCCTTTGCCCCTCTCTAGGCTATTCTCAACACAGCTGTCAGAAGGGTGTCATTACTGGGCTGGCTCTGTACCTAGAGGGTAGGGAACCTGGATCCCATAGGGCTGACCAAGGTTTGACCACTGGCACTGGGGGCTTAAAAAACAAGCCTGGCGTGTGTGTGTGTGTGTGTGTGTGTGTGTGTGTGTGTGCGTGCATGCCCAAAGAAGCAGAGAGGGAGAAGTCATGATCATGCCCTGTTGGAGGGTGTTTTCCTCTCTCCCCCCTCACCCCCGTCTCTCTCTTTGGTAAGTACCTGCCCTCTAGCAAAGAAAGAAAAGATCCCATTATAACATCAGTGGGAGTATGTCCCCTCTCTGTCCAACCTCCCTAATGGCTTCTTATCTCGGGCAGAGTAAAAGCCAAGCAGCAGTGAGCTCGGCATAGTCTGACTTTCCCCTTGCTTACTCTGGTAAGGCCAGTCTCGTTTCTTTCTGTCCCTTGATCAGGTCAGGTGTTCTCCTGCCCTTAGCACCTTAGCACTTGTTCCCACGGTTTTGATTGCTCTCTCCTCCCATGTCTTCAGGGCTGACTCCCTCACTTCCTTCCAGACATTGTTCAAATGTTTCATGTTTTATGAATTCAGTACCTAGACCAGTGTCTGGCATGCTGACGAATGGAAACATTTTGGTGAATGAATGATGGATGTCTGAGGGAGGTGGGGGATCCTGACAGGAGGAAGGGCGAGGAGCAGAGGGCCTCCTGGAAGTGCTTCTTAGGGTCAATATACAGATGTAACTATGATGGCCAAGTAGAAGTTCAGCAATGCTGAATTGCATAGACGGTCAATAGGGACAAACGTTCCTAATGAGGGTGACGAGAGTAATAGTGAAATAATGTTTACAACAACCTCAGCGGAGGCTGCATGGAATGTGTTCAGGAGTCAGTCAATGCTTGGTGAGCTGGGGAAGGAGCAGGCGTCTTGATCTGATCAAACATTTCCACAATTTGACGATTTCACAGGAAGGAAAATGGGTGGTTTTATAAAACTCAATTTATCACCAGTTATATTGAAATGTGCATATAAAATACCCAATTCATCTTACCAAAAGTTCTGGGGGAAATATGAGCTCCTGCGTAGGGTCCAAGGGCTGGAACTCCTCTTTTGCAAATAACTCTGTGCAAATCTATATAAAAGGAAGACACAGATGGCCCTGTCAGCCTAGCTCAAATGGAAATGATGTTGTAATTCCTTACAGGAGTCAGGCAAAATGAACTAGCAATAACTCTTCTCTTTGTGCACAGATAAATTGTTTAAAATAATTTAAAATAAGAATCTTGTGTACGAGAGACACCGGCTTGCCACTAATGTGATGCTAAAAGAGAATATTCTATGAGATATTTCAGACTATCTAGGAAACACCGACATCCTGTGAAAAACTATCAGAGGTTAAATAAGTGTGGGAAATCCTTTCCACTGTGCCCCAATCACGATCTTCCCCCTGGCCAAGTCAGGATTCAAAACACCAGAAGCTCTTAGAAGTCCTATAGTTCAAGAAAAAATGACCCTAAACATGCATGCCCATTGTAAACACGTACACATACACAATCTGACTTTATGGTTTAATAACAATAATGACTGGTTATTCATGTTTACATTCCAAGGGCTCTGACATATAGAAATAATTTTTAAAATCTTCATAATAATTGTATAAACAAAGGAGATTATCTTTATTTACCCGTTAGGAAACTAAAGCACAGTGAAAAGTTACCCATACTGTAATCCTGTCTGAATCAGATCTGTTTTAGCTTTGGAAAACTCTTATTGCCGAAAACATTCTGGAAGAGGTTAAAAAAAAATGGAGAGAGCACGCTAGGTTGCCAGGGTTAGAGAAGAGAGCGCAGTGGAGAAAAGGATATGAAAACCTCAGAGGTAGACAGAACTGGGCTCACTCCCATCTCGGCACTCTGACCTTTTCAGTAAAACCTCTCTAAAGATTAAGTGGAAATAGCCCATATTGTGAAGGCTAATTGTGATAATTAGGTGAAATGGCCTGACATTTGGCCAAGGCTTCTACTTTTTCTATCTTTCTGAGGTCTTTCTAGGTTCCAAAAGGGAAACTTGTAATTGTTCCTTGTATAGGTTCTTAGTAGGGCTACAGACGAGGTGCTGCAGGCCAGAATCTGTAATGATCAGTGTTTGTGTCAGTTAGAATGAGAAGTATAAGCAGTGCCTGGGGGCAATCATGTGGTGTATCTAAAACCTAGAAATAAGGTTGTGGTGAGAATTAAAATGTAAAACAAACCCAGTGAATCAAAGCTGAGAAATCAAAGCTCCCTAAATAAGTTCTTGGCCAAGACTTAGCTACCCAAATGGAAGCTATTAACATGGTTTAAAGAGAAGGGAGAGACACTTGGCCATTCAGCAGGTCCACCCTGCCTGGAAGAGAAGGGTCATCCATGGTGCAAATGATCTGCGTCCATTCTCACCAAGAAACCATCTCATTATACTTTGTCTTCCATGTGTGTTTTCCTGTCAGGAAAGCTTGTGTGGTTCATCCTTATAGGAAAAGGTCATCGTAAGATCCACTTTCTAGTTGCGTTTGTCTTTCTAAAGAAATATTGGGGCACTTTCTTGTTTAATTATCATGTTCTTCTGAGTTTGGTTAAAGTGAATCCAATGGTCCTTAGAGCCCAGTCCTTGTTCAAATTGAATTACCAAGACCACAAAATTGAGAACTGACTTTGGAATGGATGACCCAACCAAGGTCCTGATCTATGGAGCCATTGCAAGGTAGGGTGTAGCCCACCTCGCTTATTTCCATTGCTGGCCTTCTTCACACTCAAATAAGGTAAAACCTCTCTAAAGATTAAGTGGAAATAGCCCATATTGTAAAGGTTAATTGTGATAATTAGGTGAAATGGCCTGACATTTGGCCAGCGGGATGAATGAATGGCAAAAAGGTAGGTCTAAAATACATGAGGGGAATGAGGTGTGTAGTGTTCTTTAAGCCAGCTCTCTTCTCTGATTTCCTTTTCTGTAGGGAGCTGGTTTTCTATTTTTCCCTGTGTTCCAACCTCTCTAAGTAATTCCTTTAAGAATTTGTCAGTGGGTCTCTTTTGGAAACTGCTATCTCTCAGAGAGCAAAGTCAGAGACTGGAAGGCCTAAGGCTGGACTTCCTGGCTGTGAGGCCACTTGCCAAGTGACTTTGGGAAATTGCAGCGCCCTCTTTCCGAAGAACAGGAGATGCAGTGATAGAAGATGACTCTGTGAGTGGGGCACGTAAAGAAATCCATTTCTACCTCAGTGGCAGAGGTGTTTTTTTCTTTTGTCTGCGTGGATTCTGTTTTCCTATTGTTTCAGCCTTCCAGACCAGTAAGGCTCAGCTCCCAGATCAAATGCGTTTTACAAATGCATGTACTTGGGACAGTTGTAAGTTGAGAATGGCCATTAAAACTAACAAGCACTGGTCCAGCCCTGGGTTACGTGAAGCAGTGCATAAGCGGTACAATACACAAACAGGGACTCACGTCACTTTTCCTGTCGAGTGAGGAAGAATCATTCTCTCCTTGATCCAGACAGCATTTTCCTGTTTCTTTCTGCTGACAGCCATTGGACTCCTAAGAAGGTGAGATGCCTTACATTATAAACTTTTTAGAGTCAACCTCATACCCTAGTGGTTAAGGGAGACAGTTCCCACGTGGCTGACCATGGTTCAAATCCTATGTGTGCGTGCCCAAAATTCTGACAGGATGGAGAAATGGAAGAGAAAGGATTGTGGCATGACCAAGAATGCTTCCTCTCTCTGTGTCTTTTTCTCTCTGGGAAGTGTGTGCACCTTCTGGCAATTAAAGAAAAACAAGAACTACTTTATACTAAATGGACATAAGCTCTGAAAGGTTTGCCAATTTTAAATAAGACCAGATTTTTTTTTTAGCCACTTTTGGTAGTTTCTGTGGGGACAGGGATAGCCATGATGTCTTTCTTTCTTTGTTTTATTAATTTTTTTTTCCAGAGGGTGTAGGTGTTTGCCGGAGAGAGACAGAAAAACAGAGAGAAAGAGAGAGAGAGAAAGTAACCCCATGGGGCATGGTCATGCTGCAAATCCTTCTCCTTCATTTATTCATTCTGTTGAGATCTTAGGCAGGCATGTACACACACCTGGCTTGTTTTTCAAGTCACTGAGTCTGGGACTTGAACTGAATGGTTGGCCATGTGGGAGCTAGTTCCCTTAACCACCAGGCCATGAAATTGGCCTTAGTTTCATTTTGAAAATAAATGAATCCTGTAGACATAAAATAATATTATGATATATTTATATATATATATATATATATACATACACACACAAATACATACAAATACATAATATATAGTATAAAATAATGTAGACTATAAAGAAGAATGAAAGAAATCAACTATCATTACCCTATTCTACTGATGATATTTTGATAAAATATATATTTAGAATTGCACTACATTTATGTAGTATCTATTTATATAAGACATAGTTATAAACATTTTTGTTCATTATATGTGCAGATTTGCATACACATATCAATTTTTAAAGTTCATTCCTAGCAGTGAAATTAACTGATAAGATATTTTCCAGGACAATAATAATTTATCACCTCTAGTATATGTAAGATGCAACAACATTGAATATTATCATTCATATAGGGCCATAAGAAAAATAAAGAAAGAAAAAGAGAAAAAGTCATTTTGGTAACCAGATATTCCAGACTTTTGGAATCTCCATGTGTTTACTGGGAATGAGTTGACAATGAATTTTAAAGGAGGTTTCCATTTGCTAGGGCACTTTCATTTGCCATTTCCTTCAAATTACCTCTTGTATCTTCTTCCTCAAATAAGCTCTCCCACATATCTAGCAAAATACTTCCTTCCAGGTACTTCAGTTGTTTCTGCCCAATGGCCTCGAGCCACCACCTTCCTAATTCTAGCCAAGAAGCAAAGGCAGCGGGGCCAAGTAAGCAGCACTTCCTCTCTTACCCAAAGCTCTGAGAGCATCCACAATGGACCGTGAATCAGGAATAATGAAAAAAGCCCAGTCTTCTCTTGGCCTGGTATAAACCTGGTGAATTCCCTCTAGGACTGAGTTGCTTTCACCCTTCGTAGTCCCATAGACCCTACTGGCTGCATGTGCAGTGTCTGACCACACTTTTGCCTTTAACCTGAGGGTCTGTGCCTTGAAAGGTGGCTAACACCCACATCTGCAGGCAAAGAAGTTTCCTTTAACTTCCTTTATTGGTATATCCTAAGTGTTTTTCATATGCACCAGCAATTTGCAGGGCTTTCGATTTTACTTCTAGGTTTGTTGACTTTGGCTCCCTCTTGTGGTAATAAGAGTAGGGGACACACAGACATGGGTGACCTGCCTGGCTCTGGGCATGGGGCCACCTGCTGGCCCACTTTCAGGGTCATCTCAACAGTTTGTGGAGCTGAGGTAAGTAATACATACAAGCAAGGGCCCCAGCCTGTGGTCCGCTGCTCTTCTCTCCCCATCCTAGCTCTGTTCTGTACTGTGAGGGGCCTCAAGGACTGTGAGCACCCCAGCCTGAGTACCCTGACTGTCCAAGCTCCATCCACTTCCTTCATAAACAGTTGTTTGCTGGAGACCTTTGACCTTGGGGTACAGACACTGGCTGTTATAATCTGCCCAAGATGGCCTCAAGAAACAGGTTTAAGTTGGGACCAGCAGATGGTGTAATAGTTATGTTGCTGGACTCCCATGTGGTTGACTGCAGTTCGAGTCCCGGACCCGGCAGCTTGAAACCCACACTGGGCGCATGCGTGTGCACGTCCAAGATCCCGAGGGGAGAATGAAGGAGAAGGGATTGTGGTGTGGCCATCCACCCTGGGGGGAGGGTGTGATTTCTTGCTTTCTGTCTCTCTGTCTCTCCGATGAGCACACGTACCTCATAGTGAAAATCTCTCTTTAGAAAAAAGAAAGGAAAAAAGAAAGAGGCTTATGTTGGGTCTGGGAGTGGGGTCAGAGCATACATGGGGAATGCACTAGTCACCAAGGTCACCTTGGCCCATGGACTCCTGAGAATGGCTGGAGGAGGACCAAAGGGCCTTCTGAAGTACAAGGTCCCTCTTGTTTGGGTCTAAGGTATGCACTGTCCACATCCTTCTTGCTCTCAGTGCAGGGCCACAGACATATTTGTCTCATCTCCATGTGAAACACTATTCGATGCACTGTCCACATCCTTCTTGCTCTCAGTGGAGGGCCATCGGACATATTTGTCTGATCTCCACGTGAAACACTATTCATAAAGTCAACAACATCTTCATTAATAGTAGTAACTATAAGAGGTCTTCAAAAAAGCACATGGAGGAACCAGCAGTTAGCATAATGGTTATGTCACTGGACTTCCATGTAGTCGACTGGGGTTCGAGTCCTGGACCCGGTGACTTAAACTCATGCCAGGCACGTGTGTGTGCATGCCCCAGATCCTGAGAGGAGAATGGAGGAGAAGGGATTACAGCGTGGCCATCCCCCCCTGCAGGGTGATTTCTTGCTTTCTGTCTCTCTGTTTCTCTCTTTCTGGTGCGCGCAAGTGCCCTATGGCAAAAACCTCTCCAAAAAAACAAACAAACAAAAACCTCATGGAATAATTGAATTAAAGTATGAGTGTAGGGGCCAGCATGTGGCATGGTGGTTAAGGCACTGGATTCCCACATGGCCAACTGCAGTTTGAGTCCTGGACCTGACAGCTTGAAAATCTTGCTGGGAGTGTGTGCATATGTGCCCCAAATCCCAGGAGAAGAATGGACGATAAGGTATTGTGTGGTCGTCTCCCCTGGGAGGGTGATTTCTGACTTTCCCTCTCTCTTTCTCTCTGGCAAGTACACATGCCCTATGGCAGAAAATAAAAGTATGAATTTATTCTGGTGCAAAAAAGTTTTCAAAGTCATGCATAGTTTTCTCATAATATACATTTTCCACAAACTCTTGAAGACCCCTTAAAGTTGTCTTTTTTAAAAAATTGTGTCATATGGTGTCTGCATTTGCAAGAGGGAGAGAGAGAAAGTGAGAAAGCACCTCCAAAGGCAGAGAGGGTTGTGCTGCAACCCTTTCTAGTCTCTTCTCCTCCCAGGATGTTGGGCACACACATGCATACATATCCAGTGTGTTTTTCAAGCCACCATGTCTGGGACACAAACTGCACAGTCAGTCATGTGGGATTCAGCCTCCTCAACCAACCAAGCCATCGGCTGGCTCAAGTTTGTTGAACTCTAAGTGCCAAGTAAGACTTTGCTACATGCTTTATCTGTACTTTCTCCTTTGATCTTCACAAAAACCTAGTGAGGTCTTCTCATTTCATAGAGGAATCTCCCAGTCTTTTTGTACTTAGGGTGAATTTGGGGTTCCATTCTACGTATTCAGCTTCTCTTCTTCTACCTTCCCAGTTGGTTGGATTCTTGGGACTCACCTTGCCTCACCAATCAACTCTATTCTTTGCTTGTCTCTTGTGTTTGCTGGGGCCTCTTACCTGTTCTGTCCAGATGTCTCACTTAATTAGTCCTAGAAAATGTCTGAATAGCTGGTTAGATCACCTGACTTTCCTCTGCATATTTGATTAGACAACATTAAAGGTGGTGTAATGCTCACTCGATCCTCAACAAATAGCTTAAACTCCAGTGATTCAACTGGAAATAACTCACTTGATCTCTCTTACAGTCAATTAAGATAGTCTAAAATAATCCACTCCTCTGTGCCAGGCTTGACCAACTGTCATTCTGGCCCTGTATAGTGTCCCCACAGTCACCTACTCACCATGCAGAAGGTCCTTCCACCTGCCAGAATTGACCGATACCCAGTGCAACGGCAGAGGTTACCTAATCAGAGACACATTGTTGTCAGTAAGCTTTGTTTTCATTGATTTCTTTTGAAAGTTGAAATAGACTCAGATTTTCTTTCCAGGGTATTTTAATATCAGTCAATTTGAAAGTTGAAATAGACTCAGATTTTCTTTTCAGGGTATTTTAATATCAGTGTGACTGTTTAATGCTTTTTTCCTGTACTCAGAATCTATTTAGAATTATTTTTCTGACCACCTCAATTTTAGTCTCTGTCCTAAAGAATATGATAATTTAACTGGTGAGCTCACTCCCCCCCCCCTTCTTTTTTCAGTATTCTAAAGGGCATATATGAGAGAAAGAGAAATCACCCCCCAGGGGGATGGCCATGCTGCAATCCCTTCTCCATTCTCTCAGGATTTTGGGCACATATGTACATATGCCTGGCATGTTTTTAAGCTGCTGGATCTGGGATTTGAACCACAAAATCAGTCATGTGGGAGCCAGTTGCCTTAACCACCTGGCTGGCCCTAGTGAGCTCACTTTCATCCATCTATTAATTTATTCATTCAGTGTGTATCTGTTGAGAACAACTACATTTCATAATGGAGATCCTTGAAATAACCTATGGAAAATTTCCAAGGCAAAGGGTAATGGCTTGGTTAGTTTGTCAGTGGTGCCTCTCAATAGCTTTCAGGTTACTGCAGGAGACCTGAGCATATTTGCTAAAGATGCGGATCCCTGGCCCTGCTCTGACTTCATGAATCAGAGTTTTGGGTGTGGGCCCAGGAAACTGCGTGTAAGAGCTCTCTGCAGGCAGTTCCATTGCATGGCAAAGTTTGAGAACCTCAAACTTTATAAGGATGACATCTGGACAGGGAAGGAGGAGGAGGAACAACGTTCATCTGAGAAGGCTTCGAGAAGAAGCCTGGCTTGAAGGATGAGCAAACTATGGATCAGAGAGAGAAGGAGAGGGTGTACTGGGCTTTCAGGGCAGCATGAGCCAGTTGCAGAAGAGGAAATGTGTAGAGCAGAGTCAAAAGGGAGTTATGGAGAGAAGTGTGAGTTAGTGAGGCCAGTTGTCATACTTCTCTGCATGTTGGTGAGTGAGGTTAGGATTGGCCATGCTTTAGGGTTTAGGAGCTGCTGAAGGAGCTTGAATAGAAGGACCAAAGAAAGATGGGAATTTTAGATGACTTAATCTGATTTTCTGTATTGGAGGTGGGGAGAGGAAGAGAAGGAGAGAGAGAAAGAGAAGTCTACCAGCAGCTGGCAGCTTATACCACCCTCTGCCCCTCATCAGTCCTCAATCTAAGAATTTGTGAATCTAATACATGACTTGTTTAGGTATTGATGCCCCATTAATGGTGTTTACTAATCCTGGAAAAGGGATCTATTTATAAACTCCTTTTTAGTAACTTAAACCTATTGCAAAATTTCAAGGACTCTTTCATATGTGAAAGGCCCTCTTATGAGTGGAATTTGGTCTTCTGGAAAGATAGGTTGAATTCCTAACCCCTGGGACCTGTGGACATGACCTCATTATTATTATTAAAAAAAAAATGGTCAGAGGGTGCAAATGCTTTCCAGAAAGACAGAGCAAGAGGGTGAGGAAGAAGCACCCTGTAATGAGGCATGATCATGCCACAATTTCTTCTCTATTTCTTCATCCTTTTGGGATTTGGGGCAAGCAAACACATATGCCTGGCATATTTTTTAAGCCACCAGGTTTGAGATTCACACTGCACAGTTGGCCATGTGGGTGACAGTTCCCTTGACCACTAAGCCACAGGGCTGGCCTGAACATGACCCTATTTGGCAATAGGGTCTCTGCAGGTGTAACTGAGTTAGCTTTTCTTGGATTAGGGTAAACCCTACAGTGACTGGGCTATTACGATTATTAATGAGGTTAGGAGATTTGAGAGTTTTGTAATCCCATATAAAGAAGAGGGAAATCTGAACACAGACATACAGAAAAGGGAAGATGGGAAGGTGGACGCAGAGATTAGAGTGATGCATCACAAGTCAAGAAACACCAAGGACTCCTATCTATCACCAGAAGCTAGGAAGCTTCATGGGAGGGCCTTCGTCTAGTGCCTATATGGCCAGCTGACACCTCAATTCTAGACTGAAATCCTCCAGAACTGTGAGAGAGTAAACTTCTGCTGTAAGCCAACCAGTTTGTGGTAGTTTGTTAGGATAGCCCTAGGAAACTAATATCAGCCTCTAAGCAATCAAGTAAGTCACTGTATAGAGACATAGGGTGTCGAGTGGGTGCTGTGGTCCATGTGCAGTGCATTGGCTGCTCCAAGCTTATGCTCTAATCAGCAGGGGATAGCCTGGTATTTTCTCTGCTTCTGGGTGAACTGTAGCTGCTTTGGAAACAACCAAAGCAGGTACTCGAGTGGGGCTGGGATCGAGTGTGTAGCAGCCTGAAATCCTTCCCATCTGCCTTGGGTGGGTAATAGTTTTTAGAGTCAGACCGACCTCCCAGGGCTTCCATGAGCTGCTCTTCTGAGGGCTGGGGGTGATTCCTGAGCAGTGTGTACATGGACATCACCATCCCGGGGGTGCAGAATCCACACTGAGTCCCATGGCTCTTGGCAATCCTTTCCTGGAAAGACACAAGCATGGTCACAACCTTACCTTTCTGTTGCCACCAACTTTCACCAGAGCCCATAGCCAGGGGCTCCTTTGTCATGGTGGAGCCCACTCTGAGCAAATATTCCCCAGCCCTTTGATCAGAGCTTGCCAGTGTTCCTTTCTGTAGACTGCTCCTGGAAAAATCACCCAGATGATTATGCAATCATTATAATCACCTCCCAAGGTCAAGTGCTCAAGTCTCTCTAACTGGGAATTACTTCTCACTCCCAGGGTGAGAAAAATTCTCCAGAAATCAATAATTATAAGGAGAGGGTATATAAGTTTTCATGAACACCTCCATATCATGCGTGGCTTAGCCCTGACCATGAAGCTACCTTCTTTGATCAACATGGATACTGTTGATCTCACTTGGCTTTCATCTTTCAATTACTCCGTGGGTGAGAAGTAGGGAATCAAGGAGACGGGAATGCAAAATATATAAGAAACAAGAAAGGAAAAATGATTTGTTGATGATAACATGTATAGTAAGATTATTGATTTAACAAATATACAGTGTATTCTGGATGGGGAAATCTCATTTTGTATGCTGTACTGATGTACAGTGAATGAATGTAAAATAAATAAATAAATAAATAAAATTACGATGTGTTAGCGCACAGGGAGCTCTACTTCCCAAAGTCCAAGCTTTTGCTCTGTGTCTTAGACCCTTGAAACCATGGTCCACGAACCAGCAGTACTAATTCCCACGGGAGCTTGTAGGAAATGCAGAGTCTGCTGCATTGTTTGACTCCTGCTCCAAACATTCTAACCCACAATCTGCATTTTTAATACCCCTGGGTGATTCTTAGGCACATTAAAGTTTTGTAAGTCCTGTTTTAGATTTTGGAATGGAATCTAATCCTAGGATTGGGTTTATCAGCCCTATTGTGACCTCTGAGTAGACTCTATTAGACTCTGCTGGATCCTTTCCCTTCGTTGACCTTGGAACTGATTCTCACGTAGTTAAATCCAGAGACCCTCTGGGCTCCTTCGGCCTAGAAAGGACCCAATGTTGGTCCCCTTGGCCCTGTGACATCCCCCCCTCCCCAAATCCTGTGACTTACAGAGGAATTGATGTGTTTTCTAACTCTACCAATGCATGTCACATTGCTCTTGGATCCAGTTTCCTTGTTCCAGCTTAGGCTGATGTTTGCAGAAACTTTTGTTTTCATGCTGTGGTAAAATCAGTTTATACTCAATTCATTTGGTTTTGATTATAGTCTCAGGATCTCTGTCCCACAGCAAATAATCCTGAGTTGTATTTGGTTAGTCTCAGAAACATTTCACTCTATACATAATATTCTTTGTGCATATCTATTCCAGACCATAGTCCAATAAGCATTAGTCTATGTTTCAGTAATACTGCTTATCATTCAAGTAGGAAAAGTAAGAAAAAATATTATTTAGTAAAATGTGAACAGATTTCCAGGTTTTAAAAAAAATCTATTAACAGCTGTTATTATTCTGATTAACATGCATCCAAGTTCCTACTTACTGACCACAATCTAGAAACCTCAGGCAGTATGCAGGGGTGGGAGGTATGTTCAAAAAGTTCATAGAAAATGCATGTTATGAATAAAGTATGCGTGGATTTTTTTGTACCAAATTTTGCACCAAAATGAACCTGTATTTTTTTTTTTAAGAATTTTTTGCTACAGGGCTTGTGCATTTGCCAGAGAGACAGAAAGTGAGAAATCAGTCCCCTGCCTCAGGGAAGGGTAGAAACACCATAATCCATTCTCCCTTATTCTCTTCTTGAGATTTTGGGCATACAAGCACACATGCCTGGCATTTTTAAGCTGTTAGGTTCCAGGACTCAAACTGCAGGTAACTATGTGGGAGTCTAGCAATGTAACCATTAGGCCACCTATTGGTTCCTGAAATCATATTTTAATTCCATATTTCCACCATCTTTTTGAAATTCCCTCATACAGTCAACACAGAATTTGGTAAAAGGATAAAAGTTTTGAAGTGAGAAAATTAGGCTATGGTCTTACCTGTACAGGGTGAAGCCTAGTTTTGATGCTTCCAACACCTTCCACAGTGGTGACAGCAGCCCCGTGCAGAGAGCAGATGGGCACCAGGCATGCAGTGACTGAGAAGTGTCTTTGTGTGAGAAACACAAGGAAAATCAAGAGGAGTGACATGGATTTGTCTCATGAGAAACTTGGAACCAAGAAGGGCAACAAAAAACCTCCAAAGCTTATCAGTCAGCCCAAGGGATGGGGAACTAGAGGATAGGCAGAGAAGATGAGTTTGAGGTCCTCTTTTCTGACTCTGTGCACCTCTAATAACTGGGCAAGCATCCTGAACTTTAGAAGAAACTTCTAAGCCCAAAACAGACCCACTTAGGAATAGGAATGGATTCACGTTAGTAGGAATGTGGTTGGCTTTCAACTAGTGTTCTTGGGACATTGACCTAATAACAAGCAAAAGGCACACTTACATCTTTTTCCCAGATGTGCACATTATTTATTTATTTATTTATTTGCTTATTAATTTGAAACTTTATTGATAAGATCATTTGGTAATGTTGGATGACCATGTTCTAAAGCTACCTCTTGATTTATTGGGCCAATGGTTCGGAAGAAGCCCAAGTTCTAGAATCTGGCCATTAAGTAAAGGCTGAAATTATAGCCTGGGTCCTTAATCTGCATGGTTGATCCAGCCCACAGTTGAAACAGCACTGTCTTGAGAGACAGCAAATGTGGGTTTAAGTCCTTGTTCTATAGCTTATTAGTTGACCTTGAGCAAGTCACTTGACTTAGAGCCTCAATTTCCTCATTTGTAAGATGAGTGATTGGCCTAAATTGGGGTTTTTATACCTAGGGTGCATAGATGGATCTCGAGAGGTCCATGATCTCCCGGAAATGGCATGGAACATGTAATTAGTTTGTATATGATCTCAGTAGATAACCCACCTCTGTTATTGGCTTGCTTTATTTTTTATTTTATTTTATTTCTTTTTGGAGAGGTTTTCCCTATAGGGCGCATGCGCTCGCCAGACAGAGAGAGAGAGAGAGAGAGAGAGAGAGAGACAGAAAGCGAGAAATCACCCGCCAGGGGGAATGGCCACGCTGCAATCCCTTCTCCTCCGTTCTCCTCTCCGGATCTTGGGCACGCACGCACACGCGCCTGGCGTGAGTTTTAAGCCACCCGGTCCGGGACGTGAACTGCGGTCGACTACGTGGGAGTCCAGCAACATAGCCATTATGCTAACTGCTGGTCCCCTTTATTTTTTATTTTAAAAGTTTTTTTAGCAGTATCTAAGATTCAGAGACAGCAGAAATATAAAAATCTTTTTGAGTTGTGAGATGAAAGTTTAAGCCAGGCAAAAAAACAAAGCCCTCCCCTGGCTCCTGGGTGGATACCTTATCTTCCTGGACATGGGGTCATGCTTAGACACCATCACGGTGCAGGCGCCGCATCCTCCTCTGCCACAGGCATACTTGGTTCCTGTGAGACGTACTGGAAGACGGGCCGTCAAGGAAAAGATGCCAAAGTGGACATTTGCCTCCAGTCTCGCTGACTCCCTAGGGTGATGGAGTGAGCAAGGTCTCTGGGTACTGAGGTGCAGGTCTGAGAAGCCACTTTCCTGCTCCCAGTTCTTAGTAAAGGCCTCTCTTTACTGATCGTTAGCTGTGTAACACCGGATGTAACCTCTCCTTGACTGTTTTCTCACTTGCAAAGAGGGAGAAGTAGTACCAACTTTATCTTCACAGGCTTATTATATGTTTCTTGAAGAATAATGGATGTAAAGTTTTCAGTCATGTAATCAGAAAAGCTGAGTTAGCAACTCGGTGTCTTACTAGTTTTGCCCAGTGACTTGCATTGCTTGTGAAAGCCAATGAGGGAGTCTTGGGAGGAATCTTTTACCTTTGACTTCAGACCCCACCTTGTTTGGCCCAGGTCCAATCATAAATCTAGGCTCAGCTTCATCCCCTTTGCTTCGTTCATCCTTCTCCCTTGTTGTGGCCTGTTTTCATGCAATTTATGGAATTGGTTGTCATGGGTCTAGACTGGCTACAGGGACTTCGGAATCACAAACTATTGCTATTACTTTTTTTTTCTTTTCTTTTTTTCTCTCTTTCTTTATTTATTTTGGAGAGGTTTTTTGCTATAGAGCGCGTGCGCTTGCCAGACAGACAGAGAGAGACAGAGAGACAGAAAGCGAGAAATCACCCTCCAGGGAGGATGGTCACGCCGCAATCCCTTCTGCTCCATTCTCATCTCAGGATCTTGGGCACTCATGCACACGCGCCCAGTGTGAGTTTTAAGCCACCGGGTCCGGGATGCGAACCGCGGTCGACTACGTGGGAGTCCAGTGACATAGCCATTATGCTAACTGCTGGTTCCCTATTGCTATTACTTTTTAAAAAATTTATTTATCTAAATTAAATCATAATCTCAAATGCTTATCAAACAGGTAGTGTAAATTAATAGAGCAAAGAAAGGGGATTTTTATTTTTTTAAATATGTCATTTCCTAATAGTCAAACATTAACAACTAATTGAAAATAATGTGGGCCTTTTAAACAAAACTTAGAAGCTGATTTCACCAATTTGCAATTTCTGTCATTTATTTCTGTATTTATTTTGGCATCTTGAGAGTTCTATCAGATTTACCAATTCAAATATGTCTGCCACTGTGAAGCTCTATATTTTAGAATATAAAAAGGTGGGGGGAAATCTGGGGTAGGAAAACAAATGCAGGGCAAGGAAATCCTTTCTAATGACACATGTTCTCACTGTATCTAGAGAATTTGGTTTCCTGAAAGGGCAGGGCACATGTAACCCAATCCTCTATTACCTAACTGCCCCCGTGGGAACCTGGAAATACCCCAGGGAGTAACTAGTGCTCAAGTAGGAGCTTAGCATCTATTTCACTGTTATTATCAGACTCAAGAAACTCCGGGTAAACTTCATCCTCTCCAAAATAACTCAGTTAACCCAATATCCTTAAAACCATTCTTTGCTGAAAACAAAGAGCAAAGGGCAGAGGAGGAAGAGGGTTGACAGAATGGAGACATTTGATTGTCATAATTATAGCTGGCCTAAGTTTGAAGGCAAAGATAGGCATGGCCAGGACTTTGATAAAAAGGGTCCGGTTTTTTCGTAGGAAGTTCAGCAGAGTCACTTCCGGGTCTGCATTCCTTTCTATCACCTGTGTTGGAAACAGGAGATTATTAAGGGGATTGAATCAGTGATCTGGTGGAAAGTCTGTTCTGACCTGTTTGATTTAGGGATTAGGATACAATCTTAGGTGTGGTCTTATCTGTACCTGTTTTTCAGTGCAAATAACTTTACGGTAAACAACTTTCACATACATGTACAGAGCAGGAGGCTCAGATAGAGTGTGGCAATGATGCTATCATATGTGGTTAAAGCTGGGAACCACTGCTATGTGAAGAATCCCTTAAGAGGGATTGTTGAAGGTGTGTTCTTTATTTTTAATAATCTCCAGAGGATTTGTGTGCTCACCAGAGGGAGTTAGATAGGTGGGAGAAAACACTCCCCAATGGGGCATGGCCATCCTCCATCTCGGAGAAAACACTCCCCAATGGGGCATGGTCATCCTCCATCTTTCCATCCTGTTGGGATTCTGAGCATACACACACCTCCATGTGTTTCAAGTCACCAGGGCTGGAATTCAAACTGGTGATCAGCTGTGTGAGATCCATCTTCTTTAACCACAGGCCATGGGGCCCTCCTTGAAGTTTTATGTTTTATATTTGCTCTGCTATTTTTGTGGAATCTTCCAACTTGGTCTTTTGTCTTGAAATATTTCAAGTTTGAGAAGGACTTGGAGTGTGTGTGTGTGTGTGTGTGTGTGTGTGTGTGTGTGTGTATGTGTAGAGTCCAGTAGGGAGGGAAGCTGAGTTTCTCCCATGGCACTGCTGAGATCCCTCTGGTGGGGAATACATTTGATAACATCAGGGGTCTTAAGAATTGGTGATGAGAGAAGGATGTGGGAAGACCTGCTGTCATCCCGAAGAGGTCCTGGAGCTGCCTGGCCAGCAGAGGACTGGTGATGAGCCTTGGTGATTCAACTCAGGATCCAGGGTGACTGATGAAACACTAGAATTTTCCTTTCCATCCCCTTAAAAAGAGAGCACTTTAGCACTCAAAAGTCATGAGACCTTCTTTGGTGTTTCCTTTTCATTTGCTTATTTTTGGATGTTTCCTTTGACTTTGTCTTGGGGTGTTCTGCAAATAGCTCTAGCTATTATACTGAGTTAGAGGAAAAAAAATGTATGTGGGCCCTCCATGTTAGGGTCTGCCTTTTTCCACAAAAGGAAGACATCAACTTTTATAACCTTCAAAGAATTAAAAACTATAGGAACTGAGATCTCCAAGCTGAGATGTCAAAATTTGACTACTTTCTGGATCTATAGGGGACTCTTAATGATAAAAGAAGTCCTCTTCTCTCTACCCTTACTCTCACCTCAGATCTGTTAAAAACATTTATTGAGGGGACCAGCAGGTGGAGCAGTGGTTAAAGCACTGGACTGTCACGTGGTCAACTGTGGTTTGAGTCTTGGACCTGAAGGCTTGAAACTCATGCCAGGCGGGTGTGTGTGCATGCCCAAAATTATAAGAAGACAATGGAGGAAAAGGGATTGCGGAGTGGTCAGCCTTGCTGGGAGGGCTATTCCTCACTTTTTCTCTGTCTCTCTTCAGCAAGAGCACACGAACTATGGCAAAAATTTTTTTTAAAAAATTTATTGAAAATGCAGCTGGGTAGCATTTTTATTATTGTGAATAATAACAATAATCATAATAATAAAATGATGACTTCTACACCTACCGCGCATGTCTATTTCTCCTAACCCTTGACTCATTTTCTGTTTGGCTACAGCTACTTCAGTCTGGGATCATGACTCAGAAGGGATGTGGAGCAGAAAGTAGAGAAGGAATGTCTTGTGACATTTGAGTCTCCAAAGCCTAGGCCAGTGGAACAAGCAGGTTGGAACTCACTTCACAAATGATGGCTTTGAAAAAAACATATGGAAGTTGCTGGTCAGAGAGATGGTACAGGAGAGAGTTAGAAAGGAAATGGTGAGTTCTGAGAGGCTCTATAATCTATCTCCTTTCTTGGGTCAAGTCCTAGGGTAGGGCGGACATGACCAAACTCTAATTAGGGCTTTGGAGTCAGAGGGCTGAGGGGCCCTGGAGAAGAAGGCAAGACTCCAGAGAAGCTGTGTGTCCTGGGAGCTACAGAATGGTTTGCTTGACAGATAAAGATTTGTGAGAGAAAGGGCCTGGTGAAGGCACTGAGGGTTAACTAGTGGCCTGCATGGATTGATAGTGAGGACCAGAAAGGAAGATGCCAGGGAAAATTGGATCCCTGCCCCTGTCATACAGGTTTCTCTTGGAACTTAGATGCAACCCAAGGAAAAGGGGAGGGGGGGACTCCAGTCAACTGTAATTACATTCTTCAATTCTGTACTAAGAGGTCTTCAAAAGATTCTTGGGCAATACATATTTCAAAAAAAGTAGGCATGGATTTCAAAAATGTTTTATACCTGGGACCAGCAGTTAGCATAATAGCTGTGTCGCTGGACTCCCGTGTAGTTGACTGTGGTTTGAGTCCCGGGCCTGGTGGCTTAAACTCACACCAGGTGTGTGTGTGTGTGCGTGCCCAAGATCCTGAGAGGAGAATGGAGGAGAAGGGGTTATGGCATGGCCATCCTCCCTGGGGGGGGATTTCTCGCTTTCTGTCTCTCTGTCTCTCTCTGTCTTTCTGGTGAACGCACGCACCCTATAGCAAAAACCTCCCCCCAAAAAGAAGAAAAAATGTTTTATACCAAAGTGAACTTGTAATTTAATTCCATTTTTCTGTGATTTTTTAAATTGCAAGAGTATATGTGTGCTTGTGAGAGAGAGAGAGAGAGAGAGAGAGGGAGAGAGGGAGAGAGCACCCTCCCTCCATGGGTGTGATCATTCCACAATTCCTTCTCCTCCATTTGTTTATCCTGTTGGGATTTTGGACATACATACACACATGTAGTATGGTTTTTTTTTTAACACACATGTGGTATGTTTTTCAAGCCACCAGGGCTGGGACCCAAACTGTGGTAAACCATATGGAATCTACTCCACTGATCCTTCCCTGAACTTTTTGAAGTCTCTTCTTATAATGGGAACTCAATAAAACAATTAAACTGTTAAGCTGAAAAAAAAATTTTAAAAGCTCTATTTCTTATCCTTTGGAATTTGAAGATCAAGGTATGTTGTTGGACAAAGTGTTTCCATGTATGGGGCCCAACATTAAATACTTTTGAGCACATAGGGGGTTCTATCTATGAGAGAGGCAGCTTTCTTTTCATCTTTACAGTAACCTAGAGTAGATTTTAAGGACGAGGTCTCTGAGGCTCAGGGAGGTGAAATAACATGCATGAAGGTACACAGTAGGGGCAGAGCTGGAGTGGAACCAGCGGACACTAAGGTATGTTCCATTACCCACATTCCCAGCAGCTGAACCCTGACTGAGGGGGAAACAGGCCAACTTATCATGGGTTCCTAGTCCCTGACTTCTTGCCTTCAGTTGGAAGGGGCTCACCCCAAATAGGCCACAAGAGCTCCCCTTGAGCTAGTGGTTTCCTGCTGCCTCTCCAAGCCACAGTAGTAACAGCCAACACTTACCTTCCTCCCATTCACAAAGAAAAGCAACTCATCCGATCGCGATGGGTAAGGCATTGCACCTGCAGATAGGCTTTATCTCAGTTCTAGGTGGGGATGCTCTGTACCAGCAGCAGAAATGAGCAGAAGAGATTTAGGTCCAAGCAACTGGAATCTCTCCCTGCATAGAAGCAGGTGACTTGAAGTCTCAGAGAGGAGGACAGGAGGTAGGGACTTCCTTGCCTCGTGGCTGTTTATGTCTAGGGCACTTGCACAGTCTGGCCTTGTAACTTGAGCTTCATTCTGCCACCCACCAATCCTGGCTTCAAAGCTGGTTCTGTACACAGCCCACACCCCTTCTGGCTTTTTCTGAAGTTTGAGGAAGTCAGTATGAAAATTGTAAACAACAATTTAAGCTTAATCCCTCTCTGCGTTACTGCCTCAGCACCAGGAACATATCCTGGATGCGTTTCAGTTTTCCCAAAGACAAAGTGAGACTTCTCATTTTCTTCAACATTTTTTCTCATTCTAGCTGAAAAATGTCTCCTCATAGGAAATCAAATGGACAAGTCTAGTTGTGCCCTAGTTCAAGTGGAGGTGTAGGGTGCCTTTTACTTACTCCTTACTCCCAGGATTATTCTATTGGAGGATTGTAATCTAGACAAGGCAGCCACAGTACAGATAAGTAAAAGAGGCCCAGAGAGGCTAGATTGATAGCTTAGAGTAGCTCAGAAATAGGTGGCAAAGCAGGAACTAAAACCAAGATCTCCTGGGTTGTGACTCTCATAAGCATACAGACAAAATTCTTGAGAAAAAGAAAAATAATACTTAATCAGCCTGAAAAACTCGATTAGATATTTATAGATAAAATCAAGCAGTTCTTTTTCTTTCAGCTAAAGAATGTCTGATGGGACCAGCAGATGGCATAATGGTTACGTCGTGGGACTCCCATGGAATTGACCATGGTTCAAACCCAAGATCTAGAGAGGAGAATGGAGAAGGGACTGTGGCATGGCTGACCCCCGTACTTAATCAGCCTGAAAAACTCGATTAGATATTTATAGATAAAATCAAGCAGTTCTTTTTCTTTCAGCTAAAGAATGTCTGATGGGACCAGCAGATGGCATAATGGTTACGTCGTGGGACTCCCATGGAATTGACCATGGTTCAAACCCAAGATCTAGAGAGGAGAATGGAGAAGGGACTGTGGCATGGCTGACCCCCGTGGGGGGTGGGAGAATGGAGAAGGGACTGTGGCATGGCTGAACCCCGTGGGGGGTGATTTCTTGCCGTCTCTCTGTCTCTTTCTGTCTTTCTAGTGAGTGCACACACCTTATAGCAAAATATTTCTTTTGAGTGCACACACCTTATAGCGAAATATCTCTTTAAAAAAATGTCTGGGACTTGGCCTCCTGTATGAACGAGTGAGGCAAGTAGCTGTTTTTGTATCTGGTGTCAGGGAAGGTGACCAACCTTTCTCTTGGCCAACACTTCCTTCATGAGTTTGTAAAGCCCAGCAAAATCATTGGAACCAATCCTTTGTCTTAAGATGACCACTTATCGTGTGACAAGTTTCAGCTAAAGTAGCACATCGCTGGCACATTCTTGACTTGGCTAATGGAGGAAGGTTATCTTTCCCCCTTGGTCCACCTGTAGCCTTAGGATCCTACTCACCACAGAGCTATTCTGGAAAATACTCCTAATCAAGTGGAGTTGGCAGCTTCACATTTCTTGACAATTCTAAAGCCTAGGCCCTCAGACATACCAGTTTTCAGATGCCATGGAGGTATTTATGCACATGTCCAAGTGTTTGAATTGTATGTGGATATTTCTCAAGTACTAAAAAGTTGCTGACTACATCTACAACAGTTTCATGAGAGGAGAAGTTGGAGATCACTGTGATTAGGTAGGATGTTAAGATCAGCCTTTTGATCATATCATTACTGCTCAGAAACCCCAGGAACTCTCTGAGGCTTGGAATGTAAGCTCCAAACCCCGAGCCCAGTGTGTAAAGTCTTCCACAACCTATCCCTGCTTCTGGCCTTGGACTGTCTTGTGCTTCAGAAGAAATCTCCTTCTCTTGCCAAACTGCTATTCTCACTGTCTTTATTCTGCTTAAGCTTGGACTTTCTCTACTTACAGGCTTCTAGTGGCCTTCTCTTACTTTGGCAAAGCCCCACACACTTGCCATGGAGGCCCCATGGGATGGGCCCTGCCCAGCTCTTTGAGTTTATTTTCATTTAACTTTCTCTTTGTTAATACTCTCTGCCACATTGACCTTTCTGCTTCTTGAATGTGTTCAATTCTTTTCTGTCTCAGGACCTGGTACATGCTGCTTACTCTAATTAATCCTAAGAGTTTGGCATGGCTGGTACCCTCTTGTTATTTGGGACTAAGCTCTCCCCTGAGCACCCAGTCATGTTAAAATTTATTTTTTTATTTTATATATTTTTAAAAGAATTATTTTTATTTAACTTTATGCATTTATTTATTTATTTTTAATTTGGGAGGTACAGAGTGAGAGAGAAAGGGAAAATGAGAAAGAAAGTAGCCAGGCCCGGAACTCAAACCATGGTCAGCCATATGGGAGTCTAGCACCCTTAATGACCACGACACCTGCTGGCACTGTTACGATTTTTTTTTGAGGGGGGAAATCCCTGGGTTCAGGGACTTTGTTTTGTTTATGGCTGTATTTTCAGCAACTGGAAAAGTGATTGTCATTTAACAGACACTAAAAAACCTATTATAACATTTTTATTCATCTATCTCTCCTGAGAGAGAGAGAGAGAGCCCAAACAGGGTCTTCATATCATACTCTACCCTTAGTCTCAGCCAGCCTGGATCATGCCATGCTCAGGTTCCCAGCATGCTCAGGAAGATCTAGGGATGTAAGCCAAGACCTTTCCCACACAAATCTGGTGTGTTACTGCTGCATCACCACCTGGCTCTAAAAGCCAGCGCGATTAAATGGTTCAATGAATTGGACTTCTTGTGAACTTTACATCTAAAAATGATTTGTTATTTACATCCCATAATTGTACATTTCATATTTACTCACTCTCTCCACTGCAGTATAAGCTCCATGAAGCCAGGGACGTTATAATATTGGGTCTATGCAAAAATACATCATGGCTTTTCCAACAACCCAACATTTCCATTCACCCACTGCATCCCCAAAGCCCAGAATGGTGCCTACCACAGAGTACACGCCCAATAAGTGTCTGTTGTGTGACTGTAGAAGATTGTCCCATGACTGCAGTGATGTCCCATGACTGTGCCTGCCCCACTGTGGTTGTTCTCCTTCCCTCTTCAACTACCATCAGAAAGCAGTAGTGCCAAACCTCTCCTCTCCTTTCCCTGAATTTCAAAGTCCCTGCAGATCCAACCAACTGCTTCTTCACTTTTCACTTAATAAGCTAGGAACTGGGAAAATAATCTCCAATCTTCCACTATATTTTTTTAAAAAGAATTATTTTATTTAACTTTATTTACTTATTTTAATTTGACCAGAGAGAGAGAAGGAAAGTGAGAAAGCAAGCCGCCTGGTCTGAGACTTGAACCATGGTCAGCCATGTGGAAGTCCAGTGTCCTTAACCACCACGTCACCTGCTAGCCCTTCTACCACTAATTAACTGTCCTAATTTTTGTCTTAGTCCATTTTTGCATTGATAACAGAAATACCTGAGCCTGGGTGATTTTATGAAGAAGAGAGAAGTTTATTTACAAACTAAAAATTCTGGTGGCTGGGAAGTCTAAAGGCCTACACCTATGGCATGGATGATAGAAGCACAGAGGATGTGATGTGCATTCAGAGAGAGAGAAAGAGAGAAAGAGAGAGAGAGAGCAAGCTGTAGGTTTTCTCCTTTTTGTGGTCATCAGTTCTCATGAGAACCATATTAGAATTAGACTTGATGTCTCACGTCTCTTGAGACATCATTAATCTACTTACGATGTCCCCTCCATGATGCAATCACCATGAAACAATTGTTGTCCGCTAGATCTCACCACCTCCTAACATCAAATTCCAAAACATAAAACCTTGAGGGACAAACCATTATCAAAATCATAACAATCTGCCCTTGGCCTCCAAGGTTCATTTTCTTTTTTTCTAAAAAATTTTCCAGAGGGCACGTGTGCTTACTAGAGAGAGAGAGAGAGGGACAGCGAAAGGAAAACTGACAAAGCACCCCACCTGGGGCAAGCTCTTCTCCTCCATTTCTTCCCTCTTTCAGGGTTTTGAGCACACACATACACACACAGTGTGTTTTTTAAGCCACTAGGTCTGAGACTTGAATTGCATAGTTGGTCATGTGGGATCCAGCCACCTCACCCACCACATTATGAGCTGGCTTGATTTGATTTTCCCCGACTTATAAAATACAATCTTTTCAATGTGCATGTCTCATTTTCCCAATGAAGTAATAGGTTTCTAGAAGTTAGTTAGCTACTTGTATCTCCTACCATGGTCAGTATGAAGGACAACTTGTTCTTTGTAGGGGTTAATATATCCTCAACTTATGGCCTAGAATACTTTAAATAAAGGAGACATTAGTGAGTTATTCATTCATTCAGTAGTTATCGAGCATCTGGCTTGTACCAGACACTTGGCTAACTGTAGAGGTACAGCAGGAAACAAGATTTACAAGTTTTCTTTCTCTTGAGTATCATTTAGTAAGACAATTAACATGAGATTAATGCTTATGACAAGCATGGAACAGAGAAATCAGCCTTGTTTTGAGAGCAGAGATCCATTCTTCCTTGAGAAGGAACATTTAGGCCTGGAAGATAGGAGTTGTTTTCATGAGAACTGAGAATAGGGGAGGAGACAGAGAAGGGAAACACCGGTCCCTCTCATGATTGCTTCTATTTAAGGGAAAAATGAGACGGATTGTTTGTAAGGTCCACATCTGTTCATCCTCTCATTCTTCCTTTGAAAAGAGGGCAACAAATGGTCACATAATTAACACTTACAGGAGCATGGATGCTGTCAGTGACTGAGATACGTGAATCATGGTGTTTCAAAATGTCTGTAGGAATAAGCCCTGCAGTGTCAACATAAAGCACAAGCATTTAAAGTAGAAGAATAGCTTCAGAGAACTAGAGTCGGATCAGGTATTAGATATGGCAGATCTAAAAGTACTTTGGATTAGGGAACCAGACACTTTAATT